TCTTAAATTCTGAATCATAGGAGTTTATTACCTAATCAAATAATATTTTCTGGTCCAATATCCATACGCTTACACATTTTATTTTATATATTTTTAGTGGGGGAGGGGCAGAGGGAAAAGGAGACTGAGAATCTTAAGCAGGCTCCACACACAGCAGGAAGCCCGCCACCCCCCACCGGGGCGGGGGGGGGGGGGCCCTCAATCTCTCCACCAGAGATCATGACCTGAGCTAAAATCAAGAGTCCGATGTTTAATTCACTGAGTCACTCAGGTGCCTCTACACATGACATTTTTTTTTTTTTTTTTTTTTTTTAAAGATTTTATTTATTTATTTGAGAGAGAGAGAATGAGAGAGAGCACATGAGAAGGGGAGGGTCGGAGGGAGAAGCAGACTCCCTGCAGAGCAGGGAGCCCGATGCGGGACTCGATCCAGGGACTCCAGGATCATGACCTGAGCCGAAGGCAGTCGCTTAACCAACTGAGCCACCCAGGCGCCCTACACATGACATTTTTTATAACAGCTTCCCATGTCCAAAGTATCTCTTGCTGTCTGAATTAGTTTCTGAATTCAGAGAGCAAGAATGATTAAAACCCTGAAAAAAACATAGAGGAAAATCTTCAATAAACTGGATTTGACAGTGATTTCTTGGATAGGACACCAAAAGCATAGGCAATAGAAGAAAAAATAGATAAACTAGAGTTCGTCAAAACTGAAAACCCTTGTGCATCTAGGACACTGTCAAGAGAGTGAGAAGACAACCCACACGGGGAGTTAGTATTAGCTAGTCTTATATACAGAATGTATAAAGAACCGTGAAAACTCACCAACAAAAAAATAGCACAATTCAAAAAGTGCCATACCAATTTACTCAACACCAGCAGTGGATGAGAGAGTTTGTTGCCCTAGATTCCCGCCAACACTCAATTATTATTATCATTAATATGAAATTTTTCAGTTTTGCCAAAAATGTAATATAGAAAGGTCTCAAAATTACTGAAACATAAACCAAGTACACCTTCACACCAAGTACACCGCACTGTAACTCAGTATCTTTAAAAACATATTAAATCTAAAAACATATTAAAAAATGCATTACAAATACATTTAATAAAAAGAGAATTAGGACCCTTAAAATCTTTAATATAACTTTAAATAAAAGACATTAAGAGTATCATCCTCTAATATTTTCTCAAAAGAATGAACTAAACTTCACACTCCAGTTATTAATGTCCTAGTTCCTAAACAATGAACTGAAATTTTTCATAAATTAGTGACATATTTGAATCCCTCTAAATAAAGAGTTCATGAGTAAACTACCATAAATTTAACAGTATGTCACATAATTCAAGAAAAGGGAAAATTTCACTCATGGAACTGAACTTGGGTTTTGCTTTTAAAAATTACATAAACAGGGGGCGCCTAGGTGGGTGGCTCAGTCGTTAAGCATCTGCCTTCTGCTCAGGTCATGATCCCAGGGTCCTGGGATTGAGCCCCGCATTGGGCTCCCTGCTCCGCGGGAGGCCTGCTTCTCCCTCTCCCACTCCCCCTGCTTCTGTTCCCTCTCTCGCTGTGTCTCTCTCTGTCAAATAAATAAATAAAATCTTTAAAAAATAAATAAATAAAAATTAAAATTACATAAGCAGTTTAAAAAATTAAACAGTTAACAATCATTCAGTCCTAATCATAACAGCAAACAACTTATTTTTTCAGAGGGCCTTGTTTTTGCTCTCTGAATACCGCTGAAAGAAAAATTCTATGTAGAGATAAAATATATGATCTATATTTGTTTTTATTAGGAATATAAGGCCTAATATTTGCTTTATCTTTTATTTTATTTTTTTAGGGAGGGAGAGAGGGAGAGAGAGAATCTTAAGCAGGTTCCACGCCCAGCACAGAGCCCCACATGGGGCTCGATCTCACTCTGAGCTGAAATCAAGAGTCGGACACTTAACTGACTGAACCACACAGGTGCCCTGTAATATTTGCTTTAAAAGCAACAATGAGGGGCGCCTGGGTGGCTCAGATGGTTAAGCGTCTGCCTTCGGCTCAGGTCATGATCCCAGGGTCCTGGGATCGAGTCCCGCATCGGGCTCCCTGCTAGGCGGGGAGCCTGCTTCTCCCTCTGCCTCTGCCTCTCTCTCTCTCTCTCTCTCTCTGACTCTCATGAATAAATAAATAAAACATAAAAAAAAAACAAACAAACAAAAAAAACCCTTCAAAAAAAAAATAATAATAAAAGCAACATTGACAAACCCAACTACTTTTGAAGAATTGGGGGTAAATGTTGCAGTTGCATTTAGTAAAACCTTGTTTTAAAATAAATAAACAAAGTGCCCACACTTTCTTAAAACTACCAACATGACTCGTAATAGTCCCTCTTTCCTTCCTTGGCCAAGGATGCTTAATCTTTTTATTTTTATTTTATTTTATTTATTTATTTTTAAATTTTTATTTTATTTATTTATTTATTTTTAAAGATTTTATTTATTTATCTGAGACAGAGAGAATGAGAGAGAGAGAGCACATGAGAGGGGGGAGGGTCAGAGGCAGAAGCAGGCTCCCTGCCAAGCAGGGAGCCTGATGCGGGACTCGATCCAGGGACTCCAGGATCATGACCTGAGCCGAAGGCAAGTCGCTTAACCAACTGAGCCACCCAGGCGCCCGCTTAATCTTTTTACAGTCATGACCTCCTTTAAGAAGCTGGTGATAGCTATGTAAAAACACAAAACTCTATACTGATTGTCGCATTGTGAGGACAACCCACACGCCAGCATCCTCCCAGGGACCGCAGGTTGTGAAGCCTTACATCAGGCTCTAACAAGGAAAAGAAAACATTCACAGGAACCTGTCACATGCCAGATGCTTTATATAAATTTAATTTTGTATACAACCATTGAAGATAGGCATTCATAGTCCCACTATAAATGAGAAGACTGGAGACTTTTACAAGGAAGGAGACTTTACAAACTCTTAACATTGTTTTAAGGAAAAAGGTCTACATAAAAATCTCTTTCAATCAACCTTATGAAAATCCTTGAGTTCAGCAGGAACAGATACCCTCATGAGGAAAATAAGGCTCAGGGGAGGTTACTCAACTTAGCAAAGATTCATCCAGTTCATTTTTTCAAGAATTGGTACAATACCCGTTTTTTTTCTTGGCTTCTAACTCATTCACAGTTCATTTTATCAATAAAACATCCCAAACTACTTTACATGTCTATAATCTTTGAAGAATAGCAACTATTAAAAATTTCTGGATGCCACAGCAATTTGAAGAACAAAGAGCCTGCATCATTATGGTTTCTGGTAACATGCAGAAAGCACATGAATTTGATGTTATTAACAGTAAAAACTGTTATTTCACACAGTCAGGAATATTTCAAAATTTTAGCCAAAATGTTAAGCCAATTCTTTCTAGCTAGATCCATTGTTTTACTTATATATACAAATAATTTAAATCTGCACGTGGGCACGTATGGTGCCCATCGCCTGAAATTAGATATTGTATGAAATGGCTAGGGGCACCTGGGTGGCTCAGTCGGTTAAGTGTCTAGCTGCCTTCGGCTCAGGTCATGATCCCAGGGTCATGGGATCGAGCCCCACGTCAGGCTCCCTACTCAGCAAGGAGCCTGCATCTCCCTTTCCTCCCCACCCCACCTCCACTTGTGCTTTCTCTTGCTCTAATAAATAAATAAAATCTAAAAAAAAAAAATAATAAAGACAAAGAAAAAAGAGAAATGGCTAAAACTTGTGGTCAACACGTGACCTAAAACAAATTTAATATCCTTTTTTTTTAAGATTTTATTTACTTATTTGACAGAGAGATAGAGAGAGAGCACAAGTAGGCAGAGAGCAGGCAGAGGTAGAGGGAGAAGCAGGCTCCGTGGGGCTCGATCCCAGGACTCTGGGATCATGACCTGAGCCGAAGGCAGAAGCTTAACCGACTGAGCCACCCAGGCGCCTCACACATTTAGTATCTTTACTGCACAGAATAAATAAGGTTAAGAAAAATTAGTTTTTTAAAAAGATTTTATTTATTTATTTGAGAGAGAGAGAGTGGGAGCACAAACAGGGCAGGCAGCAGAGGGAGAGGGAGAAGCAGGTTTCCCGCTGAACAGGGAGCCCGATGCGGGACTCAATCCCAGGACGCTGGGATCATGACCTGAGCCAAAGGCAGTCAGCTTAACTGACTGAGCCACCCAGGCGCCCTGAAAAATTAGTTATTATATTTGGATAGCCTACGAGAAAGAGGTGACAATATTTAATGTATCAACTTGCTTTATGAAGAGTGACAGGAATTAATCCTTGTATTAAACAGTTCATTTTACAAAAGCTTTCAACGTATGGGGCGCATAGGTGACTCAGTTAGTTAAGCTTCCGACTCTTGATTTCAGCTCAGGTCATGATGTCAGGGTTGTGAGATCGAGCCCTGCTTAAGATTCTCTCTCTCCCTCTCCCTCTGCTTCTGCCCCTCCCCTACCCCTCACACTCTCTCTCTCCTTCTCTTAAAAAAAAAAAAAAGAATGAAAAACCAAACCAAACCAAACCAAACCAAACACAAAAACCCACAAAAGCTTTCAACATATGGTAGTTAACTGGATCCTTACAACCACCTTTAAAAGGTAAGTGGTATTATAATCATTTGACATCTTTGAGCTCAATTTCTTCCCTGTTAATCTGTCTATAACAATGCTAGTAAATAGGAAGGTGAGATTCAAATGTAGGAAATTCCTAACTGCAAAGCCAGTATTCTTTCCACTATCACATGCAGGAGTAACAACATAGGTATATCCCATTTCAAATGTCTGCCATACAAATACACATGCATTCACGGTCATGCTATCATGCACGTCCCTGACAAGCCTCAGAGCCTCTTGTAGTCTCACAAAACGGACTACTTGGAAATAACAGAGATTAAAATCAAACTTCCCGTAATAAGTATGAAAGTTGGATAAAAAATTAATAAAGAAATCCAAGTAATGTCAACAATTCTACTCACCCGTTTTGAAGGACAGTGCTCATTCTTCTCATCTGTCATCTTCCCACTTTTAAGTGCTTTCCTTGGGTGCTTGATAGTTGTTTTTATGGCAGGTCGACATACATAGTTCTCCAAGTTTTTTGGAGGTTTTTTAGTTCTCTTGGCCTGAAGGCCAATTTTCAATTTTAAGTTTCCCTCTGAAAAGTTTGTTTCTTTCACTGAAAACTGTTGCTGTGCATCAGTCAAACCATCCTCCTTCCCTGCTTCGCTGTTTCTTTCCCGATTCCACTTGCGAAGGTCCTCTTCCTCTTTTGTGCTGTTCTCTAGCTCTCCTTCTCTCTTGCTGACCACTGGGCCAGTACCGACGGCAGAGGGACTCTTTCTTGAAAATCCTTCAGAGTCAGAACCCAATCCTAACATAGCAGTATTTCTAGGGTCCATCACAAGTGTCTGTTATTGCCAAGGAAGCTTAGGGAAATTTTACAGAACTGTGTTCCATAAAAAACAGGGATCTCCAAAACTTGCATCCAGCATCTCTTTCTCTGCAGGATAAACCGTAACAAAAATTCATCAGAAAAGAAAGAAACTATTGCTTAATGTGAAAAATGGGTATAAGGGGAGAGGGGCAAGGAGGTCAGGAAGAATCCCAAATCACAGTTATAACTAACCAAAATACAGTACAAAATGAACTTAAATTAATTTAGTTATAAATAAATTTAAAATTTTAGAATAAGCTTATTATTCTACAGATACCATAAACTAGTTGTAGTAATACATGTTATGGACTGGTTTTAGTGCTCCAACCTTTTTTAAGAGGTTTCGGGCTTTTCAGGTTAGGACTCTTAGGCTGGAATTATCTCTGCTGCTGGTGTACAATTAAACTCTGAATTCATTCACTCATTCATTCATTCAAAAATATTTCTGAGCTCCTATCATGTGCCAGGCATTGTGCAAAAACCTGAAAACACAGTACTCAACAAAACAGACCCAGTTCCTAAATTTACAAGACTTATACTCTAGTGAGAAAGACAAACACTAAAAAATTGTTGTATAAATGATTTATAACAATTGATATAAAAACTTTGAAAACCAGAAATTTAATTTTACAAGTTTTCCTAATAGTGAATAGTCAGTTGGCATGCTTTAATTCCCCAAATCCATAAATATTTTTTCCAAATTCATAAAATATTTTTAAATGAGCAAATTATTATTTTATAAAAGATATACACCTTACCTGTGAATCTGAATAATCTACACAGGGCAACCTCCTTCTCATAAATAAAGATCTTCAGGAAACCAGATTACCATATAATCAGAAGGCTGACTAGCAAATATAAAACCAAAACAATCCACTATTCTTGAAGATTGATAGACTAGTTTTTATTCTAAGCATATATCCAATCAAGATCCAGGACAAGTATCTGAAAAAAGAAGAACAGCCTATTCCTTAGAACATTCCATTTATGAAGTAGAATATTTCATAGTTTAAACTACGTGCCTTAAGACTTTTCTTTCCAACAAGATCGTAAGATTCTCAAGGACAAAGATCATACAACTATTTCACAACTTCTATAAGGAATGTAAGTAAAATGCATAGCCCGATGCCTAGCAACACAGCAAGGGTTCAAGAGAAGGTACCAATAATTAATTATTATTACTAAGAGTAGCAGCATATTAAGTATTCAGTAAATACTGGCCAGTTGACTAAACTCTTCAGTTTGTTCCCACTCTGTTCATTCACAAAAACAGCCACAACGGTAATCTTCCAATCAGCTCACTCTAACAATTCTTGCTAATGCTTCACAGATTAATGCTTCACAATAGTTTTCAAGGCTGTTCATAATCCAGCTCGTAAATATTCAAACTTGCTTGTCCTTACTTCCCAACACACATCCCCTATGACATCGTCAATTCAGTTTCCTTAACTGTCCCTAACAGATCATGTTCATCTTTGCTTCTGTGCCGTGTGCTTTCTTTCCCTCTAAAAGTACAAAGTCCTGGGGCGCCTGGGTGGATCAGTCGGTTAAGTGGCTGCCTTTGGCTCAGGCCATGATTTCGGGGTCTTGGGATCAAGCCCTGCGTCAGGCTCCCTGCTCAGTGGGGAGTCTGCTTCTCCCTCTCCCTCTGCCCTCCCATGGTCGCTTTCTCTCTCTCTCAAATAAATTAATTGAAAAAATAAAAAAGTACAAAGTCCTATCTTGTCTGAAATGGGTTCATAATCCTGAAATTTAAAACTCTGAGAACCAGAAGCTTTTTCATAATTCACTAAGGACAAAACCTGACCAGACCTGATTTGGATCCATTTGGGTCTTAATCACCACAATTTTTGTGAATAGTCATACATTTCAATGCAAAAGTATTACTGTGCTTGATGAAGGAGTGCTACTCTAAACACCACTGTGGAAGTAACCCAATCTACGCAAAAAACAAATTTTTGGATGATGCTTTGTGGACTTACGTTTTAACACTTGCATTTAAGCTTGCATTGACCTGATCCTTCCCTGAATACCTATTATCCATATAGGATCACAATCTGAGTAATCAGCTTTTTTTCCTCCTTCTTCCAAATTTGTCAACTACATCCCCAAATAATTACAGTGTTAAGCTTCATGAGGGTAGGGACCTCTTCTGGCTTGCTCACGACTATATTTCCAGCACCCAGAATGATGAACAGCACATATATTAGTATCGAATAAATAGCTGAATGAATGAATTTTAAGGCCCCTATAGCTTCTAACATAATATCTGGCATTTAGAAAATGTTTCTCCTTTCCTTTCTTACATGAGTTCACCTTCTGTTATAAGAGTCCTATATACAAGTTTTATCTTATATGTTTATTATATGTATTTCATAGAGGTAGTTTTCTATAAACTTACTACAATATCTTAATCGCACTAGTAACAGCTTCAAAATTATATCTTATACCTCCTTCTGTCTCTGTACCATCAAAGCTGGTCTAAGAAAAATCATGTTCACTGATCTCACTTTACATTCCTGAACGCTAACCTCAACTGGACCCTTAGTGCTGAAACCTATTTCCCTAATCCGCCACTCCCCCACACAGCTACTTGAAGTCATCTCCACCCTCACTGATTTTGCTTCCAATCTGATGATGGCAGTAGAAACAATCAGAAGAAAACTGCCACAAGCCCCCACTATACTGACCCACCTCCTGTGTGTCTATTCCTATAGATTCTGCCTTCCCTACTACCATAATATAGTGGGGCACCTGGGTGGCTCAGTCGATTAAGCATCTGACTCTTGGTCTCAGCTCAGGTTTTGATCTCAGGGTTGTGAGTCCAGGCCCCATGTTGGGCTCCACACTGGGTGTGGAGCCTGCTTAAAAAGATAATAATAATTAAAAAATACATATATTTCCAACCCCTCCACTTGAGCACCAAAACCTACCCTCTCCTTGCCTTCTCAAGAGCTTTATTAGGGCAACTATCCTTTCTCCCTTGCATCATCCATTTCTCATTTTTCCTCTAGATGATACCAATCAGCATGAAAACATACTACAATAATTTCTCATCTAAGAAAACTCCTCTTGACCCCATATCTTCTACCAGCTTCCCATTTCTCTGTCCCCCTCTTATAACCAAACTTCTTCAAAGGGCAGTCCATTCTTGCCATCTCTAAATCCTCACCTTTTTTCTCTGGAATGCACCAATCACACTTTCACCACCACCTCTCCAAATAAACTGCTAGTCAAGGTCACTAACGTACTCCATGCTACTAAGTACACCGGTCAGTTCTTAGTCCTCTACTTGACCTAGCCACAGAATGTGACACAGTGGAACAGCCCCATCGTCTCTGCACTGACTTCCAGGAGCCCTCTCTGGATTCTTCTGCCTTACTGGCTAGTCAACCTCAGTCTCCTTTACCAGTTTTTCCTTTTCTCCCTGAACATTAAACACTGGCACACCCCAGGGCATGCTCTTCCCTTCCCCATCTACACTTACTTGCTAAATGCCCAAATCCAAACTTTTGGCCTCAAAGTCCATCTAACATTGTTGATTCACAAATTTCTATCACTAGATAGAGACCAGGTGGGACCTCTTCCTCGAACTCCAGAATCCTGTATCTAAATGCCTACCTGACACACTGCCTAGATGTCTACTAGACAGACACTGCAAGTTTAGCCTCCTTAAAATCAGTTCATCTTCTGCCTCATCCCCCCCAACTGTTCTTCCCACAGGCTTCCTCATCTCAGTAAATAAATGCAACTCCAGCTAGAAATATTTAGGCTAAAAATTCCTCATCACCCTTAACTCCTCTTTCTCATGCCTCACATGTCCATTTAGTCAGCAGTCTTCTTTACCTTCGAAATACATGCACATTCTATTTCTCGCTAATTTAACAGCTACCACTCAGATCCAAGTGATAATATGTCACCTGGACTACTGCAGAAGTCTCTTCACTGGCTCGCTCCTTGCTTCAGCCCTTTGTATCTCTTTAGTCGTCTCAAGTCAGCAGCCAGGTGATCCTTTAAAAGCTTGTGTCTGATCATGTCATTCCTGGGCTCAACACCCTTTCAGTGGCTTCCCACCTCACTCAAAATGGAAGTCAAAGTCCTTCCAATGGCCTAAAGGCCCTATTTACTCTGCTGTACAATCCACTCTACCTCTCTTCCACCTCTTACCAAACTCCCCACTTAGTTCCAAGAAGGGGGGGTGGGGAGCAGAGGTCTCCTCTTTCTGTTTCTCAAAGTAAAATACTCCTACCACAGGGCCTTTGCAATTATTATTCTGCCTGACTAGAACACTCCTTCCCCAGATAACTAGCTGCACGATTTGCTCTTTCATGTCCTTCACCTTTACCTAAATGTAACCTTATAGAACAGGCAATCTCTGACAATCCTTTATAAAACTGAAAAACACTTATCGCACCATCTTCTTCTAACATTCTGTCCTGTTTTATTTTTCTCCATGGCTCTTCTTACCATCTGGTGTACAATGTATTTATTTATTATGGATGTCTTTCCATTGGGATGTAAAGTGCCCCCAGGAAATGGATTTTTGTCAGTTTAGTTCAATGTAATGTCCTAGCACCTAAAACCGGAGCTGGCATGTAGGTGTTCAGTAAGTATTTGAATTAATTGCATGTCTTTTCTGGGATGTATCTTACTGGCTTTAATTTTTTATTTTCTAGTCATTTTCTCCCCTTTCTTTCTTCTTTCTTGTTTCTTATTTATCTATTTTTAAGCAGGCTCCACGCCCAGTGTACAGGCCAGCACAGGTCTTGAACTCACGACCCTGAGATCAAGACGTGAGCTGAGATCAAGAGTTGGACACTTGGGGCACCTGGGTGGCTCAGCAGGTTAAGCATATGCCTTCAGCTCAGGTCATGATCTCAGGGCCATGAGATCAAGCCTCGAGTCTGGCTCCATGCTCAGCGGCTGAAAATTCTCCCCCTCTTCCTCTGGCCCTCCCCCCTGCTCTCTGCCATTCTCTCTCTCTCTAAAATAACTAAATACATCTTAAATTTAAAAAAAAAGAGTTGGACACTTAATGGACTGAGCCACCCAGGCACTGCATGTTTCTTAATTTCTAATACCCATCCTGGGTTTCATATTACTAGTGGTGAACTAATACACCTGCCATGTATTTTTTTGGTTAGTCATGAAAACAAATCTGTTCTAGAATAAAAACAAATAATTTACACAGAAACAACTGCTTTTATATCCATTTAAATTTCCCTACATTTTTTTCATAATGAAGGAATCCAGAACTCTTCATATATATATGTATAAATGTGAAGCAGAACTTCAGTATTTCCTCCAAAGAACTCAAAAGCATTTTTACCAGCACTTACTTTTAACACACTACAGAGAAGGGTTTGGAGAGCATGATTCTCTTCATTTTAAAATGGAAAAACTGAATCTCAGTGACACAGATTATTATATAAATATCAACAAACTAAAAAAGAATTAATTTGAAAACACTGATCACTACCCCAGAAATGTATGTAAGAATAGAGAAATATGTTTCCCTAACTTGATCAAAGAGGAAAAAGAACAGTATGCCTAAGGGCATATTTTGTGAATCCATCTAGGCAGTGAGACTGGAAAAGCATGATTGGCAAACCCTACATACCAAAATTTAAGTGTTTCTAGTAAAGATAAATCCAAATTCTGAAGATACTTCACAACAAAGAATGCTTTTTATCTGCTAAATGTAAACTGCTTGAAAACCAGTCCCTACACCAGCTGCCAGAATTCTGATACTGAACTCTGAAAACAGTATTCTTTGTGAATGATACTCTTTAAGCTTTTGGAAAGGTATCTATATAATCTAGGTTTTCTATCCAGGGACAAGGATGCCATGTTGTTATACAATGTATTCTGGTTCCTACTACAATATATTCAAGGCAAAATATAGTTCCAAGGGGAAACACAGAACTAAGACTGCTAGAATCTCT